ATTGAACTATATATTAAACCTGTGAATTCGAATTAAAGTGGCTAGGTGGCATGGACATTTAAGTAGTAGTAGTAATAGACTGGATATCAGCAACAAAATAGTCACCTCTTACTTACTTCCAATTTTGTTATTTAGTCTTAGTGACAGCGTCAAAAGCTCAAAACGAAATCCTTTCCTAAATTAAAAAATATTTTTAAAGAAAATATGCTCGATGGTGCATTAAGTTATTGTAAGTCCCGATATGTAGCAAAAACTGAATGTGATTAATTTATATATTATATATAATATTTTAATTTATTATCGCAAGTATAATGTATATTTACCCCATAATTTTTAAATATTATTATTTCTTGTAGATTGTTCTAGAAAATTTATCTTCATTGTAATAAGCGTCCTCTGTTATCTAGTAACACATCAAATGAGTTAGTGATTGACAACGTTTATCAATTGGTGTTATCGATAAAAAATATTATACAGGATGCAGATTTAATCACCTACAATATTTAAAGAGGTGAAACGGTAAACGATACTGTATCCATACCAATAAATAAATCGGGTGGGCCTATATCGAGCCACACGGCCGTTGGTTTTAACGTGAAACGTCTATGTCAGCCAGTACAACCAGTACAATCGGTCAAAAAGACAGCCTTCTTTTTAAAATTTTAGTATAATTCTACAACACTAAGAGAATTGCAGATGCGTTGCCGTCCTTTTGAAAAGGAGTAAGCTCGTTTCTTGAAGGTGGTCCCTAAGTCCTTTCGGTCCATAAAAATCGCCGATGGTAAACGATTCCTAAGAAAATTCCTATTAAATCGCACGGTAGTGGACCGCCAAGCATCCAAATGATGGATGGTAACGTAAGTTTTGTCGCTTTGTGTATTGGTGAAATTTGGTGGCTGGAATTAATCAGAACAATTCCTCAGAGCACTCCCCGTGGTAAATACGATAGAAAATGCAAAGGGATGCAACATTTCTACGCAGCGCCAGTGAATCGAGCCAATCAAAGACAACTCGGTCGTCTATGTCGAGCCGCTCTGTTCTCTATAGACGGCTCCGTGCCGCAGTGGCTTAGCAATGAGTTGCTGCGCTGGGGGGCGCTCGAATCCCGCACGGAACAAGTATTTGTATGGCCTACAAATGATTGTTCCGGGTCTGGATGTTTGTCCTTGTGAAATTTGTGTTTGTAAACTGCATCCACGATACAGGAGAAAATCCTAGAGTGGGGGTAACGTTTTTTTTTTTAAATCTATGCGGTCAAGTGGAAGAAGCTCGCCCAGGGGAGCCCCGGCCCAGAGATGAAAGCAATATTCCATGTGAGGCCGAACCTGCGCTTGTAAAGTTGCAAACGGTGTGCTAGCATGAAATACTGTCCCGCACTACTGAGTACGCCAAGCTTTTTCGAAGCTAATTTAGCTTTCTCTTTCAAGTTCCAAGTGATCATGCTACTGCAGGTCATTCGATATATCGGCGCCGATGATTGCGCTATTGGCTGAGGCAACAAAGGAAGTGCTCTGAAATTGAGGAGATACGACAAAGCTGTTATTTTTAGCGGTAAACGCGCAAATTTGTGAATTTGTGAAATAATTTATCGTGTGACGACTTTTAAAATCAGTGCTTTCCTAAAATATGTTAGATTTAAAGTGTATTTATGTAAAAGAAATGAATTTGAAAAACATGGTGGCGCTCTCTTATTAAATTTCACGTTTCGCGATGGGCCTACGACGCCGACCGAACAATCATATGCTATTATTATAGCGTCTAATGGACCTAGTGACGTCATCCAGGATGCCACCAATGTGATTGCTGTTTGAATTAACTCTTAGTTATTGGAAATTAAATATTTTACTTCATAATGTTTCATTTCATTCATGACGTTATTCATAACTTAAAAAGTTTATATGATTTTTTTGGTGTGATAGGAGTCATAATAAATATAGTTGTACAATAAAAAAGCATGCATAATCCCTATTATTATATCTTAAAAGATTACAAACTAACTAACTTCACCTCCAAGTCCTTCAAAAGAGTTATTGCCAAGGCAAAGTCAGAGCACATAGTCAGAATTGGCGAGAAACTAGTTCGTCTTCCTTCGAGAACCCGTGTATTCTGGTCTCTCGCCAAGACTGTCCAAGGGAATTTCTGTAAGCCACTACCATCTCTGCACAGGGAGGACTCACTGGCCCACGCTACAAAAGAGAAGGCTGACCTTTTAGGCTCCCTTTTTGCGTCCAACTCGACTCTTAATGACGGGGGGAACACACCGCCGACGATCCCGCGGTGTGAGTGTTCTATGCCGGATGTGCGGTTCTCACTGCGCTCGGTTCGCAAAGCACTCCTCTCCCTGGACATCCACAAGTCGAGTGGGCCTGACGGAATCCCTCCAATTGTGCTGGGGACGTGTGCTCCGGAGTTGGCACTGGGTCTAAGGCGTCTTTTTCGGTATTCCTACTCCCTAGGCGTAGTCCCGAAAGCATGGAAGGCAGCTTTTGTCCACCCGATCCCTAAAAAAGGCGACCGCTCAGATCCGTCCAACTACAGGCCGATTGCCATCACCTCCTTATTCTCCAAAATAATGGAATCCATTATTAACTGCCCGTTTATGCGGTACCTTGAGGATCACCAGCTGATTAGTGACCGCTAATTCGGTTTTCGTCGGGTTTGATCAGCTGGTGATCTTCTGGTCTACCTGACTCATAGATGGGCGGAGGCAGTAGAGTCCAAGGGGGAGGCGTTCCCGAGAAATTGTGCAATTGGATCACCAGCTTCCTTGCAGATCGGAGCATCAAGGTGGTTGTAGACGTTGCATGCTCCGACTACAAGCCTATTAACGCTGGTGTTCCACAAAGCTGTGTGCTATCACCAACGCTGTTTCTTCTGCATATCAATGATATGTTGCAAACTGGTAACATTCATTGCTATGCGGATGACAGCACTGGTGATGATGCACCGGCCGTGCCAATATTTCTCGGGAAAACGTCGCCAAGTACCGGAACAAACTTGTGTCTGAAGTCGAGTCTTTGCTGAATAAAGTCTCGGATTGGGGGCCACTAAATCTAGTCCAGTTTAATCCTCGGAAAACACAAGTTTGCACGTTTACTGCTGAAAAGAACCCCTTTGTCGTATTTCCTCAGTTTCAAGGCACCCCTTGTTGCCTCAGCCAGTATCGGAATCCTCGGCGTCGACATATCGAGTGACGTGCAGTTTCGTGGTCATTTGGAAGAGAAGGCCAAATTGGCCTCTAAAAAGCTTGCACGCCAAGCACAGCGGGACAGTATTTCATGCCGGCACACCGCCTGCAACTTTACAAGGCGCAAGTTCGGCCTCACATGGAATAGTGTTCCCATCTCTGGGCTAAGGCTCCCCAGTGCCAGCTCCTTCCACTTGACCGCATCCAGCGCAGAGCGGCTCGAATCGTCGACGACCGAGTCCTTTCCGATCGGCTCGATTCATTGGCACTTCGAAGATATTCGCATTTACGACGGGGAGTCCTCTGAGGAATTGTTCGAGTTAATCCCAGCCGCCAAATTTCAGAAACGCACATCGCGGCAGAACTCCCGATACCATCCACACCATCGGTGGCGGTGCACCACTGTGCGATTTAGAAGATGTTTTCTTCATCGCACAACTTCCTTGTGGAATCTTTTACCATCAGCGATTTTTCCGGACCGATACGACTTAGGGACCTTCAAGAAAAGAGCCTACTCCTTTTTAAAAGGCCGCCAACACATCTGCAGTTCCCCTGGTTCCCCTGGTGTTGCAATTGTTTATGGGCGGCGGTAGGTACTTACCATCAGGTGAGCCGCATGCTCGTTTGCCCTCTCTGCTATAAAAAAAAAACTAACATTCTATAACAGTATCGATACTTTGATGTCGAATTTATTAGCGTCACCTACTGGGGAATAGCTGAAATGTTTTTCTAATAAATATTCAGCGTAGTTTTGCTATGTTTAGCTAGGGAGCGAACACACGTGCGAGCTCAACATTTTTGTATGCAAATGTTCATAATATCCACTCTTTATTATACCTATATATTTAAATCTCTTTGCTAGGTGGAGACAAGCACAGTGGCAAAATAGTAGTTTAAGTAGATAAGTTAGGTATTTAGACGAGTGTTGTAAATTATTAGGTATTGTGGTACCATCCCTAGCTGCGGGCCGCGCGAATTCGGCGTCCGCGCGTACATTGACCCCCAGTCAGCTGATTGTAATTCCACTGCTGGTTTTATGTTTAAGTATTTTCATGATTTTATGAAATTACTGTTTCATTTAGCTGTACTAACACGATGGAGCGTGAATAAAGTTAATAAAACGTTGTGTAAAGATGATTTTCTTTTCCTCGGGATCAAATTTCTTTATGACCCATCATCAAAGGTATTGTTAGTAGTATCGTCTGTCTTCGTTTTCGGGAGCGTTTCACTAATACCCGGTATACTGCCTTATTCTGCATTACGTACACGGTAATACTTATTACATAATATCACTAACACATTACACAGTACAAGTCGCGGCACGTAATTCTAGCGTTAAAAGAAAGTTGGAGGGAACATGCACGAATTGAATTGCACGAATGCAACTGGAAAATCAATCAGCGCGAGCGAACGATACGCACGAGCCAATCAGCACGATTTATGCGCAATAAACCGATCAGCGCGACTTATGTGCAATAATAGTCACCGCTAGACATTTGTGCCGCTACTTATACATCTGTCGGTATACACATATTGAGAAAGATGTTGTCTACTCCCTGGTTATAATTCAATAGTTCGATATCAGTATTATTCTGAGATGTTAGTGATGTTAGCCTTTTGACTTTTACAGCTTCACCCGACTTACAGCTTTATCTGACATTATAGTTTCATCTGATTTACAGTTTCATATAATTTATAGCGTCATCCGATATGCTCGATATTCACAACGCGGGCCGTATTTTATTGAGCAGGAGTGATGAGTTATTAGATGTTCGTGTATAGCGTGGAAGTAGAAGAAATATTTGCATTGCAGGTGGGATCGGCGTGCGGCGCGACTTCAAGCAGGCGAACAAGTACTTCTCGCTGGCGTCGCAGTCGGGCCACGTGCTGGCGCTCTACCACCTGGCGCACATGCACGCGCAGGGGCTCGGCGTGCTGCGCTCCTGCACCACCGCAGTAGAGGTGCGTGCTGTACACACACACACACACACACACACACGTCGCAGTCGGGCCACGTGCTGGCGCTCTACCACCTGGCGCACATGCACGCGCAGGGGCTCGGCGTGCTGCGCTCCTGCACCACCGCAGTAGAGGTGCGTGCTGTACACACACACACACACACACACACGTCGCAGTCGGGCCACGTGCTGGCGCTCTACCACCTGGCGCACATGCACGCGCAGGGGCTCGGCGTGCTGCGCTCCTGCACCACCGCAGTAGAGGTGCGTGCTGTACACACACACACACACGTCGCAGTCGGGCCACGTGCTGGCGCTCTACCACCTGGCGCACATGCACGCGCAGGGGCTCGGCGTGCTGCGCTCCTGCACCACCGCAGTAGAGGTGCGTGCTGTACACACACACACACACACACACACGTCGCAGTCGGGCCACGTGCTGGCGCTCTACCACCTGGCGCACATGCACGCGCAGGGGCTCGGCGTGCTGCGCTCCTGCACCACCGCAGTAGAGGTGCGTGCTGTACACACACACACACACACACACACGTCGCAGTCGGGCCACGTGCTGGCGCTCTACCACCTGGCGCACATGCACGCGCAGGGGCTCGGCGTGCTGCGCTCCTGCACCACCGCAGTAGAGGTGCGTGCTGTACACACACACACACACACACACACGTCGCAGTCGGGCCACGTGCTGGCGCTCTACCACCTGGCGCACATGCACGCGCAGGGGCTCGGCGTGCTGCGCTCCTGCACCACCGCAGTAGAGGTGCGTGCTGTACACACACACACACACACACACACGTCGCAGTCGGGCCACGTGCTGGCGCTCTACCACCTGGCGCACATGCACGCGCAGGGGCTCGGCGTGCTGCGCTCCTGCACCACCGCAGTAGAGGTGCGTGCTGTACACACACACACACACACACACACGTCGCAGTCGGGCCACGTGCTGGCGCTCTACCACCTGGCGCACATGCACGCGCAGGGGCTCGGCGTGCTGCGCTCCTGCACCACCGCAGTAGAGGTGCGTGCTGTACACACACACACACACACACACACGTCGCAGTCGGGCCACGTGCTGGCGCTCTACCACCTGGCGCACATGCACGCGCAGGGGCTCGGCGTGCTGCGCTCCTGCACCACCGCAGTAGAGGTGCGTGCTGTACACACACACACACACACACACACGTCGCAGTCGGGCCACGTGCTGGCGCTCTACCACCTGGCGCACATGCACGCGCAGGGGCTCGGCGTGCTGCGCTCCTGCACCACCGCAGTAGAGGTGCGTGCTGTACACACACACACACACACACACACGTCGCAGTCGGGCCACGTGCTGGCGCTCTACCACCTGGCGCACATGCACGCGCAGGGGCTCGGCGTGCTGCGCTCCTGCACCACCGCAGTAGAGGTGCGTGCTGTACACACACACACACACACACACACGTCGCAGTCGGGCCACGTGCTGGCGCTCTACCACCTGGCGCACATGCACGCGCAGGGGCTCGGCGTGCTGCGCTCCTGCACCACCGCAGTAGAGGTGCGTGCTGTACACACACACACACACACACACACGTCGCAGTCGGGCCACGTGCTGGCGCTCTACCACCTGGCGCACATGCACGCGCAGGGGCTCGGCGTGCTGCGCTCCTGCACCACCGCAGTAGAGGTGCGTGCTGTACACACACACACACACACACACACGTCGCAGTCGGGCCACGTGCTGGCGCTCTACCACCTGGCGCACATGCACGCGCAGGGGCTCGGCGTGCTGCGCTCCTGCACCACCGCAGTAGAGGTGCGTGCTGTACACACACACACACACACACACACGTCGCAGTCGGGCCACGTGCTGGCGCTCTACCACCTGGCGCACATGCACGCGCAGGGGCTCGGCGTGCTGCGCTCCTGCACCACCGCAGTAGAGGTGCGTGCTGTACACACACACACACACACACACACACGTCGCAGTCGGGCCACGTGCTGGCGCTCTACCACCTGGCGCACATGCACGCGCAGGGGCTCGGCGTGCTGCGCTCCTGCACCACCGCCGTGGAGGTGCGAATATTTCAACTAATATTTCAGAAGGAAACATTAAATCTTTACACTGTTTAACAATTTAATTTACATGTTATGTAATCTGTGAAATACCGTTACAGTCTATTAAAAATTCACAACATAGACTATCCCTATAGATTACCTTATAGGGGGAATATTTGCCATAGTTGCCACTCTTAGCAAGCTATTTGCCAACCGCAGTTTTTTTTATTTTTAGTTATTACTAGTTGATACCCACGAATTCGTCCGCGTTGCTTGATATATTAACAAAATTTTCATATGTGCAAAGGAAAAAACTGCTGTGTGATTTACCAAAATTAACACTTTAATTACAGAACACTAATTACAACTTAAAACCACACTAATAACAAAACACAATTGTACTACAGACCACCTTAGTTCTCAGTTGTATCGCTTCGAAGTATTCGCTTGTATCGGCAATTCAATACTGACCCCGGTCGCAGTCCATACCGGCCTCAGATAGTTTCTAGAACCTTAGGAGGTAGTAAAAACAGTAGGCTGTAAAACATCTAGAATGTTCGAGTACATACCGGTCCCGACTGACTAGGTGTCGATAGTTCTAGAAAGTTCTTCCATGGAAATTGATTCAAAAACTCTCCTAGTTCTGCTACTCGATACTAGAGGCGCTAATGGTAACTAGTGTTGCCTTCTGTTCCAGTAATTGTGGCGTGCAACAATATATAAATTATCTGGGTTAGTAACGCGAGAGCAAGAGACTTAACATTGCCCGTGTGAAAAACCCCGTATAAAAATAGTTGTTTTTTAAATTTTAATAACGTTTTATTAAATGAAAAATATCGTAAAAATATTTTTTAGATAAAGGAGATGTATCTAAGAAATAAAACATAATTGAAATCTATCCAGTAGTTTTGCCGTGATGCGCGCACACCTCTCTCATTTTACTCGTATTTATATACTCGTAGATTAGAAAGACGCTGCCACTATACGGTTAAATGTTTCACCACATTAAAAGCGGCGCCTCCCTAGTGGCTATACTTGTGGAAGTCCTGATCGTGTATATCAATACCAATAATCATCAGGGCTCCGCTGAAAATCAGCGCCGCTGCAGTACATGCGTTAGCATACGCCAAGTGGTAATCATTTTAGGCACCACATTACTCACGAAAAGTAGGTTTCTTGCTGAGATTTATTGACTTGAATATTGCTTCCATAGTTGGAGGCAATTCAGAAAACTGACAATAACAAAATCGTGAGATACAGTTTAATGTTGCAGCTACATAATATTGTTGCGCGCCACAATTAATACCACTAGCGCCCTCTAGTATCGAGTAGTAGACTAGGAGAGTCAAGAACCTTCTAGAAATTTCCAAGGAAGAACTTTCTGGAACTATCGACACCTAGTCAATCGGGACCGATATGTCAATTGTAATTAGTGTTCTGTATAATTAAAGTGTCAATTTTGGTAATTCAATCGGCAGTTTTTAATTGTTTCGAACCCCAAGCTCGTAACAATATCTATCGTCTACATCCAACATTTAATTACACCACTCAATAGCAAATGGTTCAAAGAATTCGTTACGTTGAGTGAGGTCTGTGAGGTATCGCGCGCTGCGGTGGGAGGAGCGCCGCCATTTTGAGGTTGTTTCGTTACGTACACGTATTCACGTACCTTACGGCCGTTTTCACGATTTTTTTAAATTTATGTTTCTTTATCTTGTGTGTTTCCTATTTACTTCTAACTTAATGCTTATAAAACGCATGTCTTTAATTGTGTCTATGTGTATGTATCGTGTCGCAGCTGCTGAAGAACGTGTGCGAGCGTGGATCTTGGAGTGCGCGGCTAATGCTGGCACATGCGGCGTGGCGAGCTCGAGACCTGGACTCGGCATTCCTGCAGTACCTGGCGCTGGCTGAGCGTGGCCTGGAGGTCGCACAGACCAATGCCGCCTACCTGCTCGACACAGGTGAGCCTCGTGTGTTCTGTATACCACGTAACCACACACCATACGGCCTCCTGCAGTACCTGGCATTGACTGTACGTGGCCTGGATATCGCACAGACCCCGACCGACCTTAACTACGTCCGCTTTGTACAACAGCGATCACGCAATCATCCCCGTGGTTAGTGGACGCTGTGGACACTGGCTATCCTCAATGGAAAATCAATCAATGGCTCCATCTAGCGGCTTAGCGCGTATTTAGTGCGCTGAGGGTTCGTATCCCACACGAAATATGTTTTTCCTAGTCCAATTTTTGTTAAGCAAGGATAATTGTAAAGGACTAGATCGCAGTATCCATTAGCTATTCCGAAAAAAAAAACCGACAAATCACGGATCGCTCGAACGCACTTCGCGTCCCGCGTACCTTGTGTTCGTTCGAAAAACCGACAAATCACGGATCGCTCTGAGCGTGACTTGTAATGCTCGTAGCGAGGTCAGGAAAAGCACAGTCCACACTATGAAAATTTGTTACAGAGTGTGTTACATTACATGATATATTACACTAATGTGGACGGCAAATTCTTTCATTTCATGTTACATTACATGTTACGTTACATAAGTCTCTACATAAGCTTACGCTGTTAAGAACATCACTACATCATAGCCAGACCTCAAAATTCTTCTGTGGACATTAAAATTCCGGTTTCTCAGTGTAACCCCTAGGTCGTTTTTATAAAACTAGAGCTAAATGGCTCCTATACTTCGTAAACTCTTCAAATAAACCTTGTTGTTACGGCCCCCAGCTGCCCTGCAAAGGTCGCCTTGGCTAGGGCCCATAGTAGCCTCCTCGATGGGCACCCGAGGGTTCGGGCCCAAATGGCCATATGGACAATTGACCTATCATACTACACAATAGGGAGAAGACTAGGTAAATAAATGGTACGTACCTGGATCCGAAGCTAAGACCGCACCAAGGCTCGGTCAGGCCGTAGGTAGGTGTAGTGCATGTAAAGTGGTGTTTAGTGGTGTGTATATTTATGTGACCTGGCCCAGCTGAGGTGACCGGGCAGCGGCCTGGTCCCATGCTGCCCCACAATGCTGTATCACTCCAGCAGGCGTCACCAAGTGACAACTTCTTTCTTCATGTCACTATTTCAGTCTATCAACTTTATTGTACATTTAACTAACTTCAACTCAACTAATTCAACGTTCATCGTAAAATCAAACACGTGATACCCGACACAAGTAACGAATAAGAGTTGAAAGTTCAATATTCAAGGTTCCGGATTCATTTATCACCAAATTACAAATAGGGAACTAACGCGATCTCTTCACGAGTCACAAAGTTCAGCGTTACAACCAACAACTAAATTCCTTCGTACTATATTAAATACTACGCCGCAATAAGAATTGAAAATCAACCTAGCTGACACGCAAAACAACTAAAGAGAACAACACACAAAAGGCTCTTAACGCCCGTCGCGTACAATTGCAACGAAATTACTCTAATCACTCAAATTCAAAATAAGCCTCTTGTCACGAACTTACAACTTAGACAAACTAAACCGAGGCGGTCTTCACGAAATCACAATTCAGTAGCGAAGTAACGCGCACAAATACTAAAAATCTAGACCATAACCCAAAAAACCTGGTCGCGCGAAATATATGCAGCGGTCACCAAAATACGCTAATTCACCGTACCGCTGCTCTTAAGCTACTGTTTTCGCCCACGAGCGCCAAACGCTGGGAAGCTGCATACCGCTGCCCCCTCCCCGCGACGCGCGTGACACCTAACACCATCGGGCGAATCGCTAAGTCGAAGGCCATTGGATGGCGTCTCAAATGACCATATTTAGCCTAAACACTTGTTGACAACTCAATTCAAATAATACAAGTGGTATGTAAAAATTTTGTACAACCGACTTCAATTTAAATAAAATGAAAACATCATCATTGTAGACGAAGTCAATAAAATATGCATTGTTAAGGATAGCTCAAAACTACTAGTCAGATCTTGATCAAATTTATATGGGACCACATGACAAACACCAGTTTTCAAATAAAAAAAAAATTGTATATTTTGGCACCACACGAGTTCACTGAAAGAAACCTAATGAATCGTGTACCTACTCATTTGCGATTCTCTATTTAAACGTAATGAAACCCAACCATTTTTGAAAAGACTATAGCCGAAACCCGGATAAACACGCTATAAGGTGATGCCGTGTGTATGGTGGGATTGGAAGGGTATCGTTTATTATAACCTTTTACCGCTGGGCAAAACCATCGATTCTGACTACTGCCAACAACTAATAAACTCAAGCAATAGGAGTGGTCTTTCATCATGATAACGCCAGACCACACACATCTTTGGCCACTCAGCAAAAATTGAAAGAGCTTGGTTGGGAAGTGTTAATACCATATAGTCCTGACTTTGCACTATAAGATTTCTGTCCCTGTTTCGCTCTCTTCAGAATTCTTCGGGTAGTGATAGGTTAACATCACGAGAGGACTGTCAAAACTACTTGTCGCATTTTTTTTTGATTAAAAATCCCAAGATTTCTACAGCAACGGAATTATGTCACTTCCTACAAGAGGGTTACAAGTAATCGAACAAAATGCAGTATTTACAATATTTATCAAAGACTAGCCAAACTTAATAATTAAGTTTAAAATATAAATACTGACACACTTGTTGCGGTTTTTAAAAAGTACGCTTAAATAAGCTTTCTACATTTATTTGAAAATATCCGAAATTATATGTGATTTATGGGCAACAACTACAGCGTACGCGTGCTCGTGTATGTGTGTACGAGTAAATGCACGGAGCTTTTGCTTACTATTTACTTCCTTAATGACACGCTCGCTAGTAAGTTTATAACTACGCGACTCGAATTATGATTCCAAATTTCCCTTCTTACTTTAAACGGGCTTAGGATCGTCATAATAAATAAAATACAATCCAACGACGTAATCGATGACTGTCTTTATTATGGTGTATTTAAAAATTTGGTATCTTGTATTTACAACTATTAAGAATTCAAAACGATTAACTATTCAACAACGAACAACATAAAATAAAAATAATAACACAAATAAAATAACACTAACTTACTGGTATTTTAACAGGTGTTCAAAATGGAGTCACGTTTCCTTAAATTATTTTTCACATTAATTACATGGAGCACCGTATTGTAGGAAAAAAAATTATTCATTAACGGTATATTCGGACGGAACGGAATAAATAATATTCTGTAACTGAACGAGCGTGGAATGCCACCGACTTCTTTCGAATTCAACATTCCTTTACGAATACGAAGGCTGCACTAAAAGTATCGGGAATAGAATATTTCCACTGTTCCTGTCATATTAAAATCTTTTTAATTGACAGGTCCTTGGTTTTAAAAATCGAATACCATTTATTTATTTAAAAAAAGATTCTCGGTCTTGCCACAAGGTTTTATCAAACTTGTTTAGTGGTTGAGATGGAATGGTGGATGGATGGATGGAATTGACTCGAGAAAATTCAAGAGCGATGATTTATTATGACTTTCGAAGTGGTTTAACACAAAAACAGTGTGTTGACCGGATGATTTCTGCATTTGGTGATGAAGCCCTATCCAAAACCACAATTTATCGCTGGTTTGCTGAATTTCAACGTGGACGTGTCAAGCTCAGTGATGATCCCCGTCAAGGTCGTCCAAAAACTGCAGTCACCCAAGAAAACGTTGATGCTGTACGTAAGCTGATTGAGGAAGATCGACATGTGACATACCGCGAAATTCAGGCAACTTTAGACATTGGCATGAGTCAAATACAAATAATCTTGCATGAACAATTAGGTGTAAAAAAGTTGTTTTCCCGATGGATACCGCATTCGCTCTGTGAAGAGCAAAAAGCGGCTCGCGTTACTTGGTGCGTCAGAACTCTCGAAAGATTCCACGCAGGATCCTCAAATGCTGTATACAACATCGTATCAGGTGACGAATCCTGAATATACGCGTACGAACCCGAAACAAAAAACCAGTCTCGAGTTTGGGTGTTCGAAAATGACTTAAAGCCAACAAAAATTGTTCGTTCACGGAGTGTTGCAAAAAAAATGGTGGCCACGTTTGTCTCCAAAACCGGCCATATTACGACTATTCCTCTTGAGGGACAAAGAACGGTTAATGCAGAATGGTATGCTAGCATTTGTTTGCCACAGGTCGTTTCTGAACTCCGTAAGGAGAACTGCAACCGCCGCATCATCCTCCATCACGACAATGCGAGTTCTCACACCGCACACAGAACAAAAGAGTTTTTAGAGCAAGAAAACATAGAATTATTAGACCATCCGCCGTACAGCCCCGACCTAAGCCCTAATAATTTCTATACTTTCCCTAAAATAAAGAATAAATTGCGTGGACAGAGATTTTCATCACATGAAAAAGCTGTGGACGCCTACAAAACGGCCATTTTGGAGACCCCAACTTCCGAATGGAATGGTAGCTTCAATGATTGGTTCCATCATATGGAAAAATGTGTCAAATTTCGCGGAGAATACTTCGAAAAGCAATAAATACATTTTTAAATAGTAATGTTGTGTCACTTCCTTGATTCCCGAAATTTTCAGTGCCGCCCTCGTATGTGCATGCGTAGTGAAACAGTACTTAATCTCTAACCGAGCGCGAGCGCCGAAACTATTTAATCTGTGGCCGAACGCCACCGACTGCTTCCGAATTCAACGTTCCCTTACGAATGTGTGCGTGCGTTGTAAAATAGTAGACGCTACATATTTATGAATGACAATCAGTTAAAATAATGCATTTCCACACATTTTAAATATAAAAGATAAAAAGGACAAAATGTTTGAGTTTTCTTCTTACTTATTTTTTTTCGCCATTCGCCTATATTACCTATTTTGAACCTCCAATGCTAATTTGACCGTATATTCCAAAATAATCCTGTATGTTTGTCTCTTTTTAGTTTCATCAAATTTCAAATCACAACGAACAAAACAAATTATGGGCGGGGAGAAGAGCCGCCAGGAAGCGGTTTAGGTCGGCCGAAAGCTTGTTTGGGAGGTCCGTGAGAGAGTTTTTCGGTCTTCGGACTCGATAGCGAGAGGAGAGTGGGGCTGCATAGGAAGCTGCCTCACGAATGAAGTAATTACAGTGAGACTCTGAGGCTTTGAAGAAGTTCTCAGTGTTTTTAGAAATTGTTGGACTGTGGGGAGCTCTAAGTCTCGATGGAGGTCGGCGTTACGGACGTACCAGGGTGCGTTCGTAGCCACACGATAGAAGTGGTTTTGAACTATTTGGAGTTCGTTAATGATTTTGGGATTAGCGTGGGACAATATGGTGCCCGCGTAAGTCATAACTGGTCGTATACAGACCTTATAAAGGGTTCGCTTGTTGCAGGGGGACATTTTACTGTGTCGGTCCAGCATACTGTTGAGCCTACTCAGATAGAAACGTGCGTTGCGGGTTACTCTTTTGACATGGGGCCCGAAGGTGAGCCTCGTGTCAAGGGTGACACCTATATATTTGGCGGTCGCATGCCAGGGGACAGGGGTCCCTAGCATACGGATTGGCGGAATGGTAGTGTGGCGGCGTCGTTTATGATTGAAGTGAACGGCGTAGCTCTTCCCCGGGTTCACATCGATACGCCATTTTTGGAACCAAGCTCCTAAGTCATCAACTGACTTTTGGATCTTGTTTCATATGAAAGGTAGTGAGATACCTTTACAGTAGAGGGCAGTGTCGTCTGCAAAGAGGGAGAGCTGAACACCTTTCGACGGGATTGGAATGTCGTTGGTGTACAGGATATACAGAAGAGGGTATACACTGATCCCTGAGGGACATCTACTTTGATAGGGCGTTGAGAGGAGA